ACCATGGACTGCTAAGAAAACGAACAAGTTTGTCCTAGAGAGGGTTAAACCAGGCTGTTCCTTGGAGGCAAGGATTCTGAAGCTTTGTCTGACACAGTTTGGACATGTTGCAAGGAGGGACTAATCCTTGGAGAAGGACGTCATGCTTGGGAGGGTGGAGGGACAGTGCAGGAGTGGAAGGCCCTCTATGAGGTGGACTGATTCAATGACTGGAGTAATCGGGGTGGGTGTGTCAGCGACGGTGAAGTTGGCATAGGATAGAGAATGGTTTAGGGTTGTTGTACACAGGGTTGTTATGAGTCACAGGTGACTCGACAGTACACAACACATTTTATAAAAACGACCATCAAAATTAAAGCTCTGGCATTAAAGAAAAAAAATTCAAGTTCTCTTACTTACATTATTGTGAAAACAAGCAAATCATTACTACCATGTGGAATATTAATTGACAACAATAGAATACTGCAAAGAACTAGTCCTCGTACATCACTTTAAGTCTTTTACCACACTTTCAGAATTACTAATGTAGAAAATATCTATCTTTAATACCATACCTGGCCCAAGGAACTGGCAGCCTCTAGCCCTGACTGCTGCCCAAAGGTTGGAAGAAAGCTGCTGAGGATTCTGGTGCTGGAGAATGAGTTCTGTAACTGTTCGTTCACCTAGTGACCGAGCTGCTCTCATGGCACGAATCCTGCCTTCTTCTTCCACAAGCTGGCAGTGAACCAGAGTCACCAGCTTCCTCTGCATTGGACGACTCAGAACACTCTGAGTAGTGCTATTCAGACCCACTCCTTTAAAATAAGAATTTAAAAAGTTATTTCTAGATGCCATGGACTGAATTATGTCCCCATAAATATATGTATTGTAACACATAACCTCTATGCTTGCAGTTCTAATTATTTGAGAATGGGCTGTCTTTATTCTGAATGTGGCAGGACTGGTGCAGGATTGTGTCTTGAGTCAATCTCTTTTGAGATATATAGAAGACAAAAAAATCCAAGCTAGTAAGAGAAACAGGAGAAGACTGATGACAAGCCACGTGGATATCTCCAAAGAATCAGAAAACAAGCTGAAGAGACAAGAAAACTTCCCTCAGAGCCAGCCCTGAATTAGGTCTGCTAGGCCTCTAGAAGACTCACTAAAGTCTAAATTACTTTTTATTTGACATGTTTCAATTTGCTTGGCTCCCCAATCTAAACTATTGGTACCAGCAGCCAGGAAATCAAAAGCTGAATTACACTGAAAAAGTATGCTGTCAGGGACTGCTCCAGAGTACTAAAGAGCAAGTACTTAGTCTGGAGACTAAGGTGCACCTGATCCAGGCCATAGTCTTTGCGATTACTTGCTGTGCATCAGAAAGCTGGACAATGACTAGGGATGACAGAAGAAGAATTGATGCCTTTGAGCTGAGGTGCTGGAGAAGAGTGTTGAATATACCATGGACCTCTGCGAGATCAAATAGGTTCATCCTATAGAGGGTAAAACCAGGCTGTTCCTTGGAGGTAAGGATTCTGAAGCTTCGTCTGACATACTTGGGGCATGTTGCAAGGAGGGACCAGTCCTTGGAGAGGGACATCATGTTTGGGAGGGTAGAGAGACAGCACAAGAGAGGAAGACCACTGATGAGATGGATTGACTTACTCACTGGGGTAGTAGGGGTAGATGCCTCAGGAGAGAGAAAGGTTCAGAGCTGTTGTACCCAGAGTCGCTATTAGTAGCAAGACTCAATGGGACGGAACATAACAACAACACTATTTATAGTTCACAATTTTTGTGGTAATAGAAAGAAAAAAACTTTAGTAATTTGCCTCCCATAAACAGTTGCACCAGATTTACCTCTAGCACTGCTGAGTGGTTTCAGGTATAATGCTAATTCTTCTACACATTTCTTTGCTTCCTCATAATGCTTCGTATCTTCAACCCCACTACACAAAGTAATGGGCTGCTGTTCAGGAACCTAGAGAACAAAAGAACAGGTCTTAAATTAGCCAAGTTTTGTTAATTAAACAAAACTATGTCTGACTACATTATGCAGATTGTTGAGAAATCTTTCTCCAATCTCTGTGCCAGAACCTTGTTCACACAACTCACCTTCTCAAATTATTTGCTCAACCACAACAAGAAACTAAGAGGGGATAAATAATGTATGCTGTATTGAAACAGATGAGGGAGAGAACTATTTAGGAGGAATACATTAGGTATTACTGTCATGACAAAGAGTCCAGAACGAAAGCTTCATGGTGGAGTGGACGGGGGGGTGGGGGGTATGAAAACGAAAGAATTTTTTTTTTACTTTTCAAAGAGAAAAATGAACTGGGGGGAGGGGTGGGCAAGGAGGAAAGTGCGCAACCATGAATGAATGGAAATTCAGTCTCTGTAAACTTTCATCAAAATAAACTAAAAAAAAAAATTATTTCCTCAGCATACAGAATGAATGAATGTGGCGGAAGGATACAACCCTAATGCACACCTGATTTTTTAAATTATGCAGTGTTCCCTTGTTCTATTCAGACAACTATTTCTTCTGAAGGAAAAGCTCAATTATTATCCTGACTCAATACCAGATGAGTTATGGGATGGAATCAATGACGTAACACTAGCAAAAAAAGCAAAACAATCACTAAAAAGATAAGAAAGACCAAATGGATGTCAGAAGAGACTCTGACAAAATAAAAGTTTCATAGTAAGATGTGCAAAGACCTGGGGCTAGAAAAATCGGAAAGGAAGCATATATTTGACATTTCCTGGAGAGGGTTAAACCAGGCTGCTCCTTGGAGGCCAGGATTCTGGGGCTTCGTCTGACATATTTTGGACATGCTGTAAAGAAGGACAGGTCCTTGGAGAGGGACATCATGCTTGGGAGGGTGGAGGGAC